GACATCGCTTTTGCAACCGGACAGTTGGCTAGAGTTGTTCAATGCCTTAATGAGGAGCAGGTAGCAGCTGGAATGAGGGTGGCCAAGTATCTTGGTCAAACACCGACCGTTGGGCTGCAATACTTGGCGGCGCCGCTAAGGCGCCAAAAGGGCGTGGATGGTGTTGAACCCGGCCGTTTGTTCTTCACCGCATTCTCGGATGCTTTTTATGCATCGGAACCAGGGGACATGACAAGTGTTGGAAGGTTAATTTGCTGTGTTCATGAAGACCCAACTGCTTGGGAAAGCAAGAAGCAGGTGGATCAAGCATTGAGCTCGGTGGAGTCTGAGTACATGGCACTCTTCCGTGCCGTACCGGAGATTATGTGGCAGCGGCGTTTGTTGGCTGAATTGGGGGAGGAGCAGCAAGGACCTACCCAACTCTACTGTGACAGCCAAGGTACCATTGATCTTGCTAAAAATCCTGTGTTGCATGGCCTCACGAAGCACATGAGGGTGAAGTGGCATTGGACGAGGAGTATGGTGGCCGCGAGTGAAGTTAATTTGCGCTACGTGAAGACGACGGGGCAGCCAGCTGACATGGTGACCAAGAGGCTGGTTGAGCAGCAGCATTAGAAGTGTTGCAAGCTGGCTAGGATGACTCTGAACTGAGAGAACCAGATCCTAAGGCCAACAATCCGAGGGGGAGTTTGTTGGTGCAACCCCACGGTTTGCACTCGGCTTGTTGTCCGTGTTCGTGCATGCGTGTGTGCATGGAATTGTATGAGAGCATGAGATACCGTATGGCCCCGGATATAGGCGCCGTCCGATTAAAGGCGCCGGCGCTTATATCTGGAGCATGGCGCTTATGGCCGAAACTCGATTATAAGCGCCCCCCCTGTAAACCCTTTACTTATTATAAGCGCACATACAGTGTTAATTTGAAATCATGTTTAAAATGGTAACGATATTACTTTCTGCAGCGAGTCTTTTTTCAATTTTGCTTTGTTTGACTCTCGAAGACCTGACTGGCTGCGCGTCCAGTGGCATGATGTGTCTTTGCCTCTGTGTGTTGGCAGAATATCGCTTGCACGCAATTCTGCTTTGTGACGCTAAAACATTTCGCCTCGGTTGAAATGGCAAGAATAAAATGTACAATCTGGTGCTCTAAATATATATATTTGTATTTGTCATTATATAAGTGCCGGCGGTTATGCCCAAAACTCATTTAGAACCAAAAAATCGATTTTATTATAAGTGCACGTGCGCTACTATCCGGGGCCATACGGTAATACCGTAAGCCCCCGGATATAAAGCCCCCCGAAATAAAGCACCCATGGGTGGTTTATGCGGGGAGGGTTTTTTATTATGGAATCCGCAATAATATACCCCCCTTTTAGGCCTTGTCAATAGAGCACCCCTCCCCTTATATAACCAGCCCTGTTTTACGTTAGATTTACAAATTGTTTGGGGACTCTTCAGGTTCTTGTTTGGGTTCTTGCGTTAGCATAAACTACCTACTTCATGGTACACATGACAATCCAGCCGAATCTAACACTAGTGAAGCACCTAAGAGTCCTCAGAATCATAACCCAGGCCGTCGTCATCCCACGGATCCTCCTCTCCCACACCGCCCTCGACTTCATCGTCGTCGGCCTCCTCCTCAGTGTCGTCGCCAGAGAAGTCCTCCGAGCAAGCCTGTTGATCAGGCAGCTCGTCGGCAGACACACAGGGGGCGTCGCCGGGGTTGGGACTCTCTTCGGGCACAATGTCTTCGAGGACCTCGACCTCGTTCCCGCTACGCATGTGAGCGAGGATCAAATTATCCTCGCTATCATCTGTGGCATTAGAAATGCCACAAGTCTTGAATGCTTTACGGATGAGGTCGGCCGGCACGGCGGCCCATGCGCGAGAGACCCACTTGAGCACAACGGACGCCGGCGGCTTCTTCAAATTTCCTGCCAAGGTAATGACGCCGTAAAAAAACAGCCGTAACATTAAAGAAGAGAATCACAAACGCACGCCTCGACATGGCCAATCATTGCTTACCGTCCGCGGTTTTCATATTGACGCCCTCCTCCGCAAACCACTTGGTGTAGAGAGCCCTCATCCCCGCCTTGAAGCTCTTGTTGACGCTCACGTCGAGCGGTTGCACGTAAGGCGTGCATCCGCCGGGAATGACGGCGGGGAACAGTCGGAAAAGCGAAAGCGTTGACCGAACGGCGGGGGTGAGATGCCCCTTGCAGGAATCCATGACTAACAGGGTTGGGGGCCGTGTTCCTTTGCTCGTTGCCGTGAACGGCGCCACGACGCGGGTGATCCAGTCACGGACGAGACGCTCGTCCATCCACCCCTTCTCCTGCGCGCAAACAACAACATCTGCGCACACAAAAGAGGTGTATGTGGTAAGCGGGGGATGTATTAGATAACCCATAGCCCATCCTTCTTAAACTAGCGACTCACTCACCCTTCGGCGTGTAGCAATTTGGAGTAGTCTTCCGCTTGAAGACAACAAACGGCGGGAGCTTCTCTCCCGCCGCCGTGCAGGAGAGCATGACAGTTATGCGCTCCTTTTTGTAGTCGGCTGTACGCACGTGGACAGTTCTTGCGCCATGCCGCTCTAGCGTCCGTTCTTGCGGCATCTCGAGGTAGACGGGAGTTTGGTCGGCATTTATTATGTTCTCTGCGCCAATCTCCCGCTTGACGATCATCTGGCGACAAAACTGCCAAAAACGCTCGCATTTCGGAGCGGCATCTGCAAAAACGGAAGCATACCGGAGTCAGGTACATGATGTTGTCAATGGTGGCAGTTTGGAGAACGATACTTTTACTTACCCGTGGGTAGTTTCTGCCCCATTTTCGTCTTCACCCGCACGGAAAGGCCCCAACGGCGCCTGAAGCGGAAAGACCAGCGCGAGGACGCTTGCCATGCTTTGCTGGGGTAGTGCTCCTTCATCCAGTCCCGACTCCAGCTTTGCAAAAGGCCCACGGATACGGGCAATCCGCGACGTCGCGAGGCGAGGTACCGACTGTATACGCCCCGCTCCATGTCGGGGTACTTCGGCTTCCTACCGCCGCGGCGCATACGCTTCCTGCTCGGCGCGGCTTTCTTCATCTGCGCACGAAGCTTAATCCACTCCCTAATCATTGAAGGCTGCACCTTAGCTAACTTTGCAACTGATCGAACGGACGGAGGAGGGGTAGCATCCAACATAGAACACCACATAAGCTTCTCTCAGACGGTAAACGAGCGCCGCTTCCGTTCCGTCAAGTTAGAGCGTGGCGACGGCGGCCTACGATCGGGGTTCGTCTCTGATTCCTCCGCCGATGGCACGTGAGCGCGCGGGAAAGAGGGGACCTTGACATCTGGCATTGCCAACGGGTCGTCGTCATCAAGCTCGTTTGGTGTAGTGTTGTTGTCGGCAAAGTCCTCATCGTCGTCTGAAGCGACTATCCCGCCACGCTTGAACCAAGGCCCCTGGCCAGACATGATGCTAGGATGGTGTGAATGACGAAAAGTTGTGACTGGGAGCTGCCTAAAAGCATCGAGTGTGTGGTTCTTTGCTTCTGCGCACGCCCACGGTCGTGGTTTCCGCGCCTTGTCAACGTGCAACACTTTCGCGCGGTGGACATTTCGCGTGTGGGTTTTGTGAATCTGGGGCACGTTCGAGAGCCCGGGTTCTTTGTGAATTCTGACCCACGTTCCTGAGACTTGGTCGCTTGAGCCAAAACTGAAATAAACATTGTACTTTTCACCGGTGAATAGCGCTTACAACACTTCTATCGGCCAATTGTTTATAAAACTAAACCTGGAATTGAACACCCGGGTGCAATACGATCGTCCCGTATTAGTGCACCCCCCCACCTTCTTTCCGGGCGTACTAACACAGCACCCGGGGCTTTGTATCCAGGGGCTTACAGTATATATTTCATGCTTAAAATAGTGTGTGAATGATGAGGCATGATTTTTGAATGTGTGTGTTGAGTCAATAGCGAGTTATCGCTAGTCACGTGTCACGTCGTCGTTTGTGTGTCGTGTGCGGTTTTCTATTTTGTCGTGTGTGGAACGTTCGGCGTGTCGCATGTGTGCGCAGCAGACTTTCAAGAACTCAAGGAAGAATTTATCTTGAAGAACCAGATCCTTGGTTTCAAGATTCAAGTGATTTCGAAGCACTCCAAAATGGTAAACGTCAAGATAGTGAGAATAGTTACATTACAATGTGTAGTGTAACATTTTTTTTTTTGTAGGCTCTTGTGGAGGGTATTTTCGAGATCTTTCGTGGTTGGAGACAGTGTGGCACTCTTCCACATCACTGTATCTCGGCTCTTGGGGTTTGTAGGAGCAGGGAGTCATTCCCAACTCGTAACTCTTCCTAATTTGTGTTCTAAGTCTATAGTGGCTACCATAGTACTGTTCGTTCAAACCGACACTGTGTCGTCAATTCTTAATGAAATCGTGCAATCTAAATTGCTTATTGTAGGCGACGTTAAGATGCTCCAGATCCAAGTTGAATCAGGTCATTTGAAGCTGTGAACAAAATGATATCAACGTTTGAAGCTGCTGTGCAGAAATCTGTCACTGCACTCTATCTTTCGTTTTAGGTACATTCAAGCCTATTGTGACTATAGTGAGGTGAGCCCATGGCAGGCGGCACTGAGGTGAGCCCATGGCAGGCGGCACTGAGGTGAGCCCATGGCAGGCGGCACTGAGGTGAGCCCATGGCAGGCGGCACTGAGGTGAGCCCATGGCAGGCGGCACTGAGGTGAGCCCATGGCAGGCGGCACTTAGGTGAGCCCATGGCAGGCGGCACTGAGGTGAGCCCATGGCAGGCTGCATTGAGGTGAGCCCATGGCAGGCGGCACTGAGGTGAGCCCATGGCAGGCGGCACTGAGGTGAGCCCATGGCAGGTGGCACTGAGGTGAGCCCATGGCAGGCGGCACGCACCTCATGCAGCAAGTTGGTGCCTTCACTCGACATGTAGAACACACAGCGGATGGGCGCGGGCAGAGGAGGCAACGCGTCAGAAGACTGCAGAGAGAATGGGGGTAGGAAAAGGGAGAGGAAGACAGGCATCAGGAGCACACGTGAGGCACACTCCATCAACCTGGGTGGTGGACGTGTGAGGGTGTGAGGGGGGCCGTCAAGGCATGCAGAGGCGGCATTGCAGCAGCAGGGTGGTGGCAGCAGTGCGACCTTGTCAACGGAGAGCGGCAGGTGGCGTGGGCTGTCCACGACAGCGGGGTGTGAGATGTCGTTCTGCCCGCGGATGATGTTGCCGTCCTGATGCCCATATGGGAAGGGCGGGTCGCACGCGCAAAGACATAGGGGAGGGATATTGGGATTAGATGAAAACTGGGACAAGTCACTGGAGTGAGTGGAAGGAGAAATAGGCCTTATGGTAATCACTGAAAGGGGATGGCCGTGCAATGCTAATGCGGGGCCAAAGTGGGTCACACTGCACTGATACGCAATGGAGGCGGTGAAAGAGCTAGGCAGGGGCTTTTGTCAGTATGGGAGGTGGGATGAGAGGCATGGCTAAAGGGAGGAAGTGGTGTGTGGGGGGGGGGGGGGGGTGGGGGGGGGTGTGGGGGGGGTGTGTGGTTACAAAGAGCTCGGCGCCGAGAGTGAAGCGGTCGTTGGTGCAGACACAGGGCAGCACGAGGCTGCGCTGCGGGATGTTGGCGACGCGGGAGAAGAGGAAGATGGCAGCGTCCAGCGAGCGGAAGAAGGAGCGCGCGCCTGAGAAGAAGAAGTTGGCCACACTGCACTCCATGCACGGGCGCACCATGGTGGCACGCCATGCACGCACGCACACAGGTGGCATGCATGGCATGATGGTGGGAGGTCAGAAGGACAAGTGGAGAGCGTGAGGTCGCAGTGATGGTAAGGGGTGTGGCGTGCAAGTGTCATGTCAGTACATCATGGCAAAAGGATGGGTGTGCGAGGAGGAAAGAGAATACACACCTCCCATGCTGGAAGCAGAAGCGATGGCCTGCATTGCGGAGGATCTGGCATGGAGGGCCAAGGCAGACAGGACGGAGAGTGGACAAGGATGGGCACATGAGGATGAGGGAGTAGGTCCTGATGGGATGATGGTGACATCAGAGATGTTGCAAGCGGAGCGGAACAGAGGTGTGGAGGCGAGGAGAACCTGGTAGTGGAAGTGGAGGAGGAGAACCTGGTAGTGGAAGTGGAGGAGGAGAACCTGGTAGTGGAAGTGGAGGAGGAGAACCTGGTAGTGGAAGTGCAGGAGGAGAACCTGGTAGTGGAAGTGGAGGAGGAGAACCTGGTAGTGGAATTGCAGGAGGAAGGCGCGAATGATCTCCTTGTATGGATCCGACACGCCCCCCCACAGCTCATGCTCGCCCTCCACTATGCTCAGCCTGCACACCCACCGCACACACACACACCACATGCCCATGGCAGGCCACACTGTAAGCCGTGCGCACCAGCCCTGGGAGAACGGTGTGTCAAACTTATATCTGCTATAGTCTGTTTAGGCTGTAGTGGGGTAGTTCCTAGAGGGTACAACACTTTTGTGTTCTCTACTTGTACCCACCTTGTTTCTAGTTCAATCATTCATTCCTCAATTATCTCACATGGTATAGAGCTAGTTCGATTTTTTTCCTAAGGGCCCACCACTGATTTTTTTTTTTTTTCCTTACATGCCTGACGCGCGCGTCGCGTCTGCCCTTCGAGGCCCCTTCGCGGCCCGTAGCGGCCCCTTCACGGCCCGTAGAGGCCCCTTTGCGGCCCGTAGCGGCCCCTTCGCGGCCCGTAGCGGCCCCCTTTGCGGCCCGTAGCGGCCCCCCTTCGCGGCCCGTAGCGGCCCCTTCACGGCCCGTCGCGGCCCCTTCGCGGCCCGTAGCGGCCCCTTTGCGGCCCGTAGCGGCCCCTTTCCGGCCCGTAACGGCCCCCCCTTTGCGGCCCGTAGCGGCCCCCCCCCCCTTCGCGGCCCGTTGCGGCCCCTTCTCGGCCCGTCGCGGCCCCTTCACGGCCCGTCGCGGCCCCTTCACGGCCCGTCGCGGCCCCTTCGCGGCCCGTGGCGGCCCCTTTGTGGCCCGTAACGGCCCGTTTCCGGCCCGTAGCGGCCCCTTCGCGACCCGTGGCGGCCCCCCCCCGCCCACCCCTGACCAGCCGCCCGTCGCCGACCAGCCGCCCGTCGCCGACCTGCCGCCCGTCCCTGACCAGCCGCCCGTCGCCGACCTGCCGCCCGTCCCTGACCAACCGCTCGTCGCCGACCTGCCGCCCGTCCCTGACCAGCCGCCCGTCGCCGACCTGCCGCCCGTCCCTGACCAGCCGCCAGTTGCCGACCTGCCGCCCGTCGCTGACCAGCCGCCCGTCGGCCTGGCCCTGCCCTGCTGCCGCCCCAACAGCGGCCCCTGGTAAGCACTCGTGCTCCGCCCTCCCCCTCCCTGCTGCCGCGCCGCCAGTAGTCGAGCCGCGCCGCCAGTAGCCGAGCCGCGCCGCCCAGCCGAGCCGCGCCGCCCAGCTGAGCCGCGCCGCCCAGCCGAGCCGCGCCGCCCCCCACCGAGCCGCACTGCTCTGCCTAGCAGCACTGCTGCTACTGCTTCGACTGCTGCTACTGCTGCTACTGCTGCTACCACTGCTTTGCACTGCTGCTGCTCCTACGGCTGGCTAGTCCTACAGTTCTCACCTTTGATGCTGAGGGACGTGCAGTTGGCTTTGACGTGTGGGTTGACGATCTACAGCTGTTTCTTCAGTGTGATTCTAGGGATGGGGTATCTCTTTTCGATCACACGTCCGGTGTTTCCACTGCTCCTGCTGCCACTGCTGACAATACTGTTCGCTCTCAGTGAACCACTCGTGACGCTGTTGCTCGTCTTGCTATTCGTAGTCACCTGCCGCCTGCTGAGCGCGCACACTTTGGCCAGTACAAGACTGCTCAGTCTTTGTATGACGCTGTAGTTGCACGCTACTCCTCCCCTTCCACTGCTGCACTCGGCCGCCTCATGCTGCCGTACCTTTTCCCTGACCTTGCCGCCTTTGCCACAGTCGCTGACCTAGTTGCTCACCTACACACTAGTGATGCCCGCTACCGTGCTGCCCTTCCCACTGAGTTCTGTGCCAAGAACCCCCCCCCCATGTACATCACCCTTTACTACCTAGTCATCCGCCTCCCTGACTCACTTTCCTCAGTCAGGGATCACTTCCTCTCCCTTTGCCCCACCGAGCTGACTGTCGACCTGCTAGAGGAGCGCCTTACTGCAGCTGAGAAGAGTATCTTAGCTGTAGGTGCTTCTCGCGGTGACCTTCGCACCCCTTTCTTTGAGGGGTGTTCCCCTGTCCCCCTTCTCCCCTCTGTTGCTTCTGCTGCTGCTGTCGACCTCGTTGGCACTGAGGAGGTCGGGGCTGCGTCTGCTCCGAGTGGGAGACGCCGCAACAGCAAGGGCAAGGGGAGCAGAGGTGGTGGAGGGGGCGGCGGGGGGGGTGGTGGCAGAGGAGGAGGGGGTGGCGGTGGAGGTGGGGGTGGCACCGGGAGTGGGGGCTTCAGTGGCGGCAGTGGAGGTGGTGGAGGCAGCGGCGGAGGTGGTGGAGGCAGCGGCAGCGGTGGTGGAGGTGGCGGCGGCGGTGGTGCTGGTCGAGGTGCAGCAGCGCAGCGTGGAGGCGCTGGTGGTAGCCAGCGTCAGCAGCAGCCGCGCTCCCGTGAGACCCCGTCGGTTCAGCAGCTTCGTGAGTGGTACGCTGGGCGTGGGAGGTCTGGGGGTGCAGGTCCATGCGCGTACGTTCTTCGCACCGGCCCTCGTAGTGGGGAGGTGTGTGGGCTCCCACACACCACGCAGCGCTGCTTTGGTCGCTTGACTGACGCTTGGCGTACCCAGTTTCCTGACTCTTCTGAGCTCCCTCGCTGACATGCTTCTGCAGAATGTGCCCATCTTTGATCTAGATTTTGATGCTATCCTTGCTGCCATGTATGCTCTTGCTGATATTACTGAGGGTGACTGTTACCTGAGTGTCCCGCCCGACCCGGGCACTGCGGCTGCTGCTCTAGGTGCTAGTGCGGCTGCTGCCCTAGGTGCTAGTGCGTCTGCTGCTCCAGGTGCTGGTACGTCTACTCTCTCTGGTACTGCACCTACTGAGGCCTTGCACACTTTCACACTTGACTCTGGTGCTTCGCGCTCTTTCTTTAGAGACAGCACCATGCTCACGCCGCTCAGCCGGCCTGTTGCGGTCTCCCTTGCTGACCCCTCAGGGGGAGTCCTTGCACGCTCCTCTACAGTTTTACCGTGTCCTGCGGCCCCGTCGGGCTTGCTGTCGAGACTCCACCTCCCCTCGTTCTCTACGAACTTGGTGAGTGGAGCTGACCTCCAGGACGCGTGGGTTGACCAGTTCACCCCTGGAGGTCAGCGTGTGACCCACTGCACTTGCTCTCGGACGGGTCGCCACCTGGCCACGTTCACCCGTCGGCCAGGGTCGAGTCTGTACACACTGACTACTGCGCCTCCTCCGGTCTCTGCTTCTGGTCAGGTAGCTGCGTCTCGTCAGGTGTTTGCTGCCGCGTCCAGGTCTAGTCCTGCGTCTGCCCCCTGCTCGTGTCGCCCTCTGTCGCACGAGACTCTCCTTTGGCACCACCGCCTTGGTCACCCCTCCCTGCCTCGTCTTCGAGGTATGGCCTCCCGTGCCCTTGTCTCTGGTCTCCCCAGGTCTCTCCCTCCCCTTCCTCCGGGGCCTGCCCCCACCTGTGTTCCTTGTGTCGAGGGCCGGCAGCGCGCCGCCCCTCACTCCTCCTCGTTCCCTCCGACTGAGGCTCCTCTGCAGACTCTTCACATGGACGTGTGGGGCCCAGCCCGCGTCCGTGGACAGGGTCACGAGCGTTACTTCCTGCTGGTCGTTGACGACTACTCGCGTTACACCACAGTCTTCCCCTTGCGCAGCAAGGGTGAGGTTCCTGAGGTGTTGATTGACTGGATCCGCGGTGCTCGTCGCCAGCTTAGTGAGAGTTTCGGCTCAGACCTTCCTGTTCTGCGTCTGCACTCAGACCGAGGCGGGGAGTTTTCCTCCGACCTCCTGAGAGCCTTCTGTCGTTCTGAGGGCATCCGCCAGACGTTCACGCTTCCGGCCTCCCCGCAGCAAAATGGGATTGCTGAGCGCCGCATTGGCATGGTCATGGACGTCGCTCGTACGTCCATGATCCATGCGGCTGCTCCCCATTTTCTGTGGCCGTTCGCGGTTCAGTACGCAGCGCATCAGATCAACCTTCAGCCCCGTGTCTCCTTGCCGGAGACCACACCTACTCTTCGGTGGACGGGGAAGGTTGGCGATGCGTCCGCGTTCCGTGTCTGGGGATCTCGAGCTTTTGTCCGCGATACTTCAGCGGACAAGCTGTCCTCCCGTGCCGTTCCCTGTGTCTTCCTTGGCTTCCCTCCTGACGCACCCGGGTGGCAGTTCTACCACCCCACCTCGCGTCGTGTTCTGTCCTCTCAGGACGTCACGTTTGACGAGTCGGTGTCGTACTACCGTCTCTTTCCCTACCGCACTGCCTCTCGCCCCCCCCCCGCCGCTCTTCTTGGCACCAGGTACTCCCCCGGTAGACCCCCTTCCCCCCCAGGGTCCTGCCCCCTCAGGTGTGTCCCAGGTAGACCCTGCCGAGCCGGTCGAGGTAGCTGTCGACTCAGGTGCTGAGTCTGGGGGTGCTGAGCCTGCGGGTGCGGGGACTGGGGGTGCTGAGCCTGCGGGTGCGGGGACTGGGGGTGCTGAGACTGGGGGTACTGAGTCTGGGGGTGCTGAGTCTGGGCGTGCTGTGTCTGGAGGTGCTGAGCCTGCGCGTGCTGCGTCTGGAGGTGCTCTCGGTGTCCCGCCGCGGCGGGAGCCTCTCTCTCCACAGCAGCTTCGTGAGTGGTACTCTCGGCTCTGTCGGGGTACTGCTGGGGCTTCTGGAGGTGCTGCTGGTGCTGGTGCTGCTGGAGGTGCTGCTGGTGCTGGAGGTGCTGCTGGGGCTTCTGGAGGTGCTGCTGGTGCTGGTGCTACTGGAGGTGCTGCTGGTGCTGGAGGTGCTGCTGGGGCTTCTGGAGGTGCTGCTGGTGCTGGTGCTGCTGGAGTTGCTGCTGGTGCTGGAGGTGCTGCTGGTGCCGGAGGTGCTGCTGGTGCTGGTGGTGCTGGAGGTGCTACTGGAGGTGCTGCTGCTGCGGGAGCTGCTGGAGGTGCTGGAGCTGCTGGAGGTGCTGGGGCTGCTGGAGGTGCTGGAGGTGCTGCTGGGACTGGAGACCCTGGGGCTGAGGGTACCGGTCCTGTTTCTGCTGTTTCTGGAGGCGCTGCGCGGCCGCGGCCGTACTACGTTCCGCTCCTTCAGCAGGTTCTTAGCTCACCGCCTTCTCCTGGTCCTCCTCCTTTCCT